ACAGTTCTCAGGACCAGGGTCTGATCCTGCAACCCTGCTTAAATCCTTGTTTCCCACTGCCTGTGTGCTGAGTGTCTCACCTGGCATAGCCCAGGTATGGAAGCTGCCACCTGGAGAATGGCACCTCAGGGATATTTTCCCTTACTTTGGGCTCAGGGACACATCATACTATGGGAGCACAGAAAAATTTGAGGCTGGAAAGTGGGGACAGAGTGTCCCCTCATGCCCCTGAGTGTCCTCTTCCTCCTCTCTTTTCCCTTCCCTTTTCCCTTTTCCCTTCCTCTTTCATTTCCTCTTCCTCTTTCCTTTTCCCTTCCTCCTCTCCCCATCACCTTCTTTCCCCTTCTTTGCCCCTTTTCCCCCTTCTTTCTCCCCCTTTCCACTTTTTCCTCCTCCTTTCCCTTCTTTTCCCTTCATCATCCTTCTTTTTCTTTTTCTTCCCCTTTTCCTCTCCAAATCCCATTTCCAAAGCCAAAGAAAGCCCTTGCCTCCCCAGGCTAGGAGTAGCTCCTTCCTGTGATGTTCAGAAGCTCCATCCCAGCTCCAGCACCTTCCTAGCCAGTAGCACCAAACCTGGGTGGCTCTGGCACGGCCTGGGCTGGCACTGGTGACAGCATTGTCCCAGTATGGGATGTATTGGATATGTTGCACCCCAGCAGGCCCCAAACAGCTCCCTGGGACACCCATCCCCACCCCAAAATCCATGTGAGGTGTTTCTCCCTGTTCTGCCCCACTCACAGGTGAGCTGTTGGACACAGGGAATAATTTTCTGGTTCACTGTGAATTTATCCCTTTTTTTTTTTTTTTTGCTTCATTGAGAACATCTTGTACCAATGTTGCAATATAAACAAAGCTTCAGGTTCCTCTGTGTGTTTTTTTTCTGTTCTTTATCTGTTCCCAGGATAAATGTCAATGGAAATGGAAAAGCTTTTCTCTGTTTTGCTATTTTCTTCCCTCCCTGAAAGACTCTTCAGGTTTATGAGGGAAAATGGTGGAAAAATCAGAAAGGGAAGAAGAATCCCCAAAACTTGCTGAAATTGAACCTCGTCATGGATATGGATATGGATATGTCTATGTACATGGCAGGACCAGAAGGAATTAAACAGATATGTAGACGTGGCACTTGTGGATGAATTTTAGTGGTGGGCTTGGTGGTGGTGTGGAACTGTTGGACTTGGTGGTCTTTGAGGGCTTTTCAAACCTTAATAATTCAAAGCAGGAAAGTGTCCCATGGCTCAGACCATCCCGGGAATCTGGACTGGGTCTTTTCAGAGGAACACTCTGCCTCTCTTGCATGCACAGCGAGAGAGCTCACAGCTCTGAGCGTGATGCAGAGCCCATTTGTAGGAAAAGTATTCAAGGAGGAAATTGCTTTGTATCAGCAAATACATCTCCATTAGCGCTGGAATTGGTATCCTGCACAATACGTGCTGGAGGACAAAGCCTGCCTATTCAGAGCCCACGGAATTCAATCCTGTTGCTGAGGAGTATCAGCAGCAAGCAAGGCAAGGCTTGTTTCATATTCACACCACAGATACTGGCATGAGACCGTGGAGATGGAACACTGCCTATGGAATGCTGGCATCACTTTGCTTTCCCAGCAGTAAATAAAGACACACAGCCCGTGCTGGTGCCCACTGCAGGATTGCCAGGAGGTCAGGCTAAGTGCCCCTCTCAGCTGCACATGGAGAAAGTTTCTTAGTGGATCTCACTGGTCACCACTGGGGCTTTACTCCTGTGAGATTGATCAATGTTTCGATCAGCTTTGTAGCAGGACATTGGACTGGGCATGTCTGTGCTCTGTAGCAATGCCCACCCAGCAATGCCCACCCAGAAATTCCTTGTTTGCATCCAAGCAAGAATTAGCAGGCATTTATATATATATAAAAAACCCCAACAAACCACCAAAATCAGCCTCAAACTGAGCATTTTTAATTAAACACACCAAAACATTCCAGGAGGGTTTTTTTCCTGTTCTTAGCTTCTGTGACACTCCTGGGACTTCACACACTGTGCTGCCATTTGCAGAAGGACTCTTAAGAAGCTTCTTGGATATGGGGCAGAGTTTTCTCTTGAGTAGGAAATAGTACAGACATGTGGAGGTGAGAAAAACATGTCTCTGAAATACCAGGAATGACATTTGGGGAGGGGAATAAGAAGGGAATAAGAAGCTAGGCCATCACACTGGCCACTTGGAAGGAGTCCCAGGGGATTTGGAGCATTGGGATGGTGGGGATACATATGGATGTGGCATTTGGGTCCACAGTGAAGTGGAGCACTTGTCAGTGGTGGGGGAATGGTTGGACTTGATAATCTCAAAGGGTTTATCCCACACAAATTCCATGATTCCATGGTATTTTGCAGACATGGTGGTCCTTGCCTGGCATCTGGAGATGGATGGTTCCTTCTGGTGGTCTTTGCACCCAAAGCTGCTTCTGTATGGGGACAACTGCAAGACAAAAACACCTCTTGGGGAATAAGAGAGGCTGGGATAAACAAGCATGGGAAGCAGCTTTTCAGGAAAAGATGGGACTCCTTGTAGATTACAAGATGATGGGGGTTGGCAGGGTGTGGGATGGCCCATACATGGCAGCCACCATACTGCCACCATCCACCACTGCCACTGCAGAGTATTGGGACCAACTTGGCCACCAGCCACGTTGGTGGGAGAAGGTGAATGAGTGCTGGAAAGGCTCCGAGTCCTCAGGGCATCCCATGGTGCCCCACAGCAGGTTCCCCCCACAAAGGAGTGCAGGATATGAGCTCAGCCAGATGATGAAAGCCTAAGTCATTAAGTCTGAGGCTCAGGGTGGAAATAGGGATTAGATTAAAGTGATGATCCTTAAAATAATCTCAAATTAGTCCTGACTCTACCCTCAGCTCTTGAGGGAAAATTTGGGCAAGTAATTGCAGGTCTGGGCCTCAGTTTCCCCTTAAGGATAACAAAGTCAGAGGATCTTGTGTAAGTGATACAATCCACTGCCTATATCTGTAGACCATGGGGATATTAATCCTGGTGAATTTGACAGGAACTGATGTGATTTGAGCGCTAATCCCTTAATATCAATTGCTGCTCTAACGTCACAGCTGGTGGATTCACAATGGAGTAGGGAAGCAGCAGCCCATCCACAATGACTTTAAAGCACATTCCCCCTTCTCCCCACAGGTATATGGCAACACCAAGCTCTGTGGTGTCATCACCATGCTGTAGGGAAGGGATGGAACTGAGGGGGACCGGGACAGGGGTACTGTGCCAGCCTCATGAAATTCAACAAGGTTAAGTGCAAGGTCTTGCACCTGGGTTGGAGTATTTCCAAGCACAAACACAGAATGGGTGGAGAGTGGATTGAGAGCAGCCCTGGGGAGAAAGACTTGACAGATGAAAAGATCAGGATGCCCTGGCCATGTGCGCTGACAGCCCAGATATCCCCTGTGTCCTGAGCTGATCCCCAGGAGTGTGGGCAGCAGGTAAGGAAGGGATTCTTCTTCTCTGCTCTGGTAAGACTCTCCTGCAGTGCTGCTTCCAGCTCTGGGGCCCCAGCATCAGGACATGAAGCTGATTGAGGGAGTCCAGAGGACACTGTGGAGATGCTCTGAGGACTGAAAAACATCTGCTATGGGCATCCCTCCTATGGCTGAGAGAGTTCTAAGCCTGAAGAAGAGAAGGCTCTGAGGAAACATTAGAGCCCCTTCCATTGCCTAAAGGACTCCAAGAGAGCTGAAGAGGGACATTGGACAATGGCCTGGAGTGACAGAACAATGGGGAATGGCTTTAGTCTGACAGACAGCAGGGACAGATAGCATACTGGGAAGAAATTCTTGGCTGTGAGGTGGTGAGACCCTGGCACAGGCTGCCCAGAAAAGCAGTGGCTGCTCCATCCCTGGAAGCATGCAAGGTCAGGCTGGGTGGGGCTTGCAGAAACCTGGTCTAGTGAAAAATGTCCCTGCCCATGGCAGTGGAGTGGAACTGGAGGAGCTTCAAATGTCCGTTCCAATCCAAACCATTCTGTGGTTCTATGACCCTGAGTCAAGATCTTCATCAGCTGGATGATTTCCTCACAGTCTTTGTCCAGGACCTGGTCCCTAGGAGCTTCCTTTTTCGTCTCTAGTGCTTGCACTGGAAGAAGCTGAAATGCTTAAATATCTTTGAAAGCTCAGGTTGCTGTTTCTCCTTCTTTATTCCCTCCCCTTGTTTCAGGAGGTGTGAGGTTTCACAGAAACCTCTGTCCTGAATTCAGTGTAGGGTCCCTCTTGGGAGTGTAGCTCCCACTCATGGGGTCTGTGGCCGGAGAGCACAGGCAGTTCTGGCACTGCAGCGATTTTTGCCCTTCTCCAGCCACTCTCTGCCACTGTCCCACCCTGCTGACATTCCCCACTGCCAGACCCCAGCCCATGGAGCCTAGGACAGGAGATCAGCAGGTTCAAGCTGGGGACCACCCGTGCAGGTGGGACTGTTTATAGGGCATCCACACTCTGGCAGGGACCTGTTTGTGGTCCGGTGCTGTCCCATATTATAGAATCACAGAACCATGATTTGGAAAAATGACACCACTGAATCCAACCATTCCCCAGCACTGCCAAACCCACCACTAAACCATGTCCCCAAGTGCCACATTTACACGGCTTTTAAATCCTCCCAGGCAAGGGTGCATGTGACAACAGTATTGGGGAAGAAATTGCCCCAAATCGAAACATCTCCTGAAACACTTGAGGCCATTTCCCTTACAAAAGAGGAAATATATTGCTCAGTGCTGCTTAGCGCCCTTAGCAAAGCAACCTGCCTGTGCTTCGAGTGTTGGGACAGGGACCTGCACGACCAGCGCTGCTCGGTACCTCTGGGACAGCGACAGGCGGGAGCGGCTCTTTATTGCTGCCGGTGCCACCGGGGCAGTGCCAGCACCCGGTAACGGGGTTTGCTGTCCCAGCAAAGGAGGCAGCGGGGAAGGGCAGGACCCAGACAAAGGCGGCTCATCCCCGGCGCGGCGCGGCGCACGGGCGCGGCCCGGGGCGGCGGCGGCGGCGGCAGGTGCGGCTCCCCCCGGTCCCCCCGGTCCTCCCGGTCCCCTCCGGTCCCCGCCCAGCCCCGCAGCAGCGCCGTCAATCAGCGGCGCCCCCGCTCCATCCTCCCCTCCCGCCCGCTGGTCGCGCTGCAGCGGGCTCGGTGACGGGAGGCTCCGCTCCCAGCCAGCACCGAGAACCGGGCGCGGCGGCGGCGGAGGGGCTGGCAGGGCTGGGAGAGCTGCCGAAGCATGCGGAGCCATGGGCCAGGGATGCGGACACTCCATCCTCTGCCGGAGCCAGCCCTACCAGGCGGCAGCGTCTGACATGTGAGTTCCCCTCTGGTCGGCACCGGGGATGGGGACCGCGCCGGGAGGGAGGGATGCTCGGCAAAAAAGCGGAGGAGACCTCAGGGACGCAGGAAAAAGTTCCTCCTGCCTGACAGCTGTCGTGGAGGGGGTGGCAAGGAAATGACAAGAGGCTGCGACCCCTCCCTGTTTCCCACTTGCCACCTATGTTAGCCCTGGGGCAGGTCATCACCGTTTCTTCTGTGCCACAGGGCTAATATGAACTGAATCTCCCTGTTTCCCCATCACCCTCATCCCATAATGATTTCCTGTAAGGGTAGAAGGCTCCTGGCCCAGTGGTGGGCCGCAGGGGGGTCCGGGTGACTTTGTGAAATTGGGGTCAGGCTTCTGAATTGTGGTTTTGGCAGCTTCACGCAGGGCTAGAGGAGCCAGCCCCTGCACACCCACCCACTCACCAAACAGATTTGGGGTCCCAGTGTCACAGTGCCTGTCTGTATATGGCAAGGTGGGAATGGGGTGATGGGGGTCCTGGTGGTCTCGTGCTGCAGCAGGCACAATGGGCTGTGTGTGAGAGCGTGGGTGACCTTGCTGAGGGATGACAGTGCTCCCTGGAAGCAGGGAAGGGTGATGCTCTGAAGAGCCCACGTGGGAAGAGGGGCTGAGCTGGCTAACGGGAAGCTTGCAGTGTATCAATTCCCATTGCCCACAGGCTTGGCTGGGCTGGCACAGACCCCCGTCCCTGTGCACACGCATGTGCAGCGCTCACAGCTCCACAGCTGCTCGGGAGCAAGGCTGTGCACGGACAATTCATGGCATGTGGGTGCTCTGCCTCCTGCTACCAAGAGATCTGGGGTGCTCCCAATCCCTTCTCCCCCTGCTCCAGTGGGAGCAGATCCCACATTTCAAAAAACCCTCTGGGAGGGTGAGCTGAACCACAGGTCTAGGGCACAAAGGAGGAAAGCTTCTCAGGGCTTGGATTCCTTTGTCAGACAGTGCCAGCTGCACATGCTCAGGCACTGCCTGGCTCAGCTGCTCACACCAGGACCACCAGAAGCAGGAGGCACGTTGCTGCACTGGAATGTGCCCAGGAGCAGCCTCAGGTCTCCTGGAGCTGGTGCTTTGGGTGATGACAGGACTATCGGGGTGCAGGGAATCTTCCATCCGCTCCTGCCCCAGCGTGACACATTTCCCTCACCAGCTTTTCGCACCTTCATGAGTTGACCTTTGGGTGAGAACCTTGTTCCTCTCCATAGAAAATACCCTCCAGCATCTCTCTTGTCAACATGCAGTGTGTGCCTTGGATCTGTTTTCACAAGGCCCCAGTAGGTGCTGATCCTCCTACGCTTCCGTGGGTGCTGGGTCTGTCTCTGCAGGCAGCATCCTTCCCTCAGCTCTCCTGGCTCACTCCCTGCTTCTGTGTGTGCTTTGTTCCCTGCAGAGATCCTCTCTGCTGCTGCCTGAACATGTGCACGTGTCCTTTTCTTTAAGCAAAACACACAAAGGTCTTGAAATACCACGAGATCCCCATGTTCCCTCCTGCCTCTGCTGCTGCTTAAAGGCTTTTAAAAAATGTAAATGACAGAAAAGCTTGGTGTAGCTGGGTTGGCTGTGCCCAGGTAGGAATTGGCAGGCGAGGTAGGAATGATGAGTCCAGCTGCTTTAGCCTTTTGCCCAGGATATGTCCTTCATAGATATTAGTCCCTGTTCCTGTAAGGGGTGTAGAGAGGTGGAAAAGCTTCCCAAGAGTTGTCAGAGGATGATGGCCTTGCCCTGCAGTGCTCCCTGGAGGGGTTGCAGTGGTGAGGTTCGTGCTGTGCAGAGAGATGTTCTCTGCTCCCTGCCTCCCCTCCAGCCCTGTTTGATGCTGCCTGGCAGTGCTGCATGAGGCTGGGATCCAGCGGTGGCCCAGCTCTCCCACGTGCATGGTGCATTTTTTTTTGCACAGGGATGCAGGTGCAGCATTTTCCAGGTCACGTTTTAACCCATTTCCTCCTTTTCTCCCGTCGGGTGGGTGGACACTGACCTGGTTAGAGGTGGGTGGGGTGTCGGGGTGCCTGGAGCTGCTGCTGTCACAGCATCTGACAGCAGCCAGGGCTGGGGAAGAAGCAACTGAGCTCTGCAGATGGAAAACACAGAGGAGGAGATGCAGCTCTGAGCATCCCTGCAGGAAGGATCCAGCTCAGTGGAGGCTGGGAGGGGTCAGGGCTTCCTTCAGGGCACAGCACTGTCCGGGATGCAGGGGGTGTGAGCTGTGCTCAGCCACACTTTGGAAGCCTTGGAGCACCTGCAAAGCTGAGGGTAGGCTGTCAAACCCCTTGGAGAACCCTCCAGACCTTTCATGGTTACTGCTAGTCACGCTGCATGTGTGAAATGTCATGGAAAATACCAACCCCATCACTCCATAGTCCTGTCAGTGTGGCCCAGATGTCTCTGCTCCCCTGCCAGGCACTCACTTGTCAGGGAAAGGGCTTCAGTGGAATGATGTTAACCTGGTCCTCTGTTGTTGGAGTTCTTAGGTGATGTTCTCCAGGTTTTTCAAAGCCTCAGGCTCTTCCTGCACTTGTAACTGGGGCTCTTCAGGGTCACCCACCTGCCTGTGCACCCAGCCCTGGAGCCTGCAGGTGCTTGTCAGGGAAAATAGAGGGAAAACTCCTGGCTGCAAGCTTCCTGCATTCTGCATATGCCAGGAGCTTCCCAGCACCCTGCACCTGTCCATGGGAGGTCTCCAGGGTGAGCACGGAATTTCCCCTCCATCACCCCGGGGCATCTCCCTGAGCATCTTCAGCTTCAGAACAGCCAGTTGTTTGGAAGTGTTGGGAATTGGGCCAGATTCTGGCTCTGTTAGTGAGGATTCTCACTGAGTGTGCCCTGGCCATCATCTGCAGCAGAGCCCCGCTCATCCCCTGTGAGCTGTGCTGCTCTGGGGGCTCTGGGAGGATAAGCATCCATCTAGGGCTGAATGCAGGATTCCCTGGGGGCAGCAGTGGATGCAGCAGCAATTTCTGGGAATGCCTCTTTCCTCCTGCTTCCCTCTGACCCTGCTCCTTGCTTTTACTTTTGTCTCATTCCCAGCTCCCACGTGGCTCAGCAGGAGCTGTGCTGGGCTGAGGACAGAAATGCCAGCAGGGCTCGGAGCTGCCTGGGACTTTCTGCCTATCTGGATTTCCCCTGTCCTCAATGGATGGGCCTGTCTGGAGGGGAGAGTGAGTTGGACTGTTGGGAGATGCTTTGTTTGCTCCATCTGCACAGCAGCAGCAGCACTGGGGTCAGGCAGTGGAGAGGCTGCTGAGGAAGCCTGGAGCTTGGTTTGGCTTAGAAAGAACCTTAAAACCAATCCAGCTCCTTGTCCCTACCATGGCTAGGGACACCTTTCAGTACACCAGGTTGTTCCTCATCCAATCTGGCCTTGTAGGGAGATCTACAAATGTGTAGGAAGGTGTTTGGAAACACCTTGCAGGAATCAGTCCCCAAACCTTGTCATCCACACGAGATCCTCGGGGAATGGACCAGTATGGGACTTGCTGGGTGTCAGCTCAGGAATGTCCCTGAGGCTGATTATTTGGCAGCAGCAGCCCTTGGTCTGCTCCTGTCCCCAAATCCTGCTGCTGAACCCATATTCTGAGTTCTGCCTGCATCACTGGTGTGTGGAGTCAGAAGGGAGGAAGGACGTGGGAGAATCTTGGGTGGGTTCAAGCCTTTGGGGCCTTTGTCAGTTTGTATTTTCTGTGATAAATCAAATAGAACAAAGGGAAGGATTTGCAAGTGGGATGGGGTGCATTTCCCACTGAAAATATTAAACCCTGACATTTTTGGCTATGACTGGGGCTGGCTTAGGGCTTAGTCTGAGCATTGCAGCCATCGAGGACAGCCTCACTATGTGTTTCAGCATCCCCAGAGCCTTTTGCTTTCCACCCAAAGAGAGGAAAGCAGACAGCAGTGCTGCCAGTGCAGCTCTGGGACAAAGTGATGACTTAGCCAGAATCCTCCTCTGGCTCCCAGTCGCTTCCCAGCCCCTTCTCAGTCTGTTAATAACGTGCACGTTTCAGCTGGGTGACTCAGAAGCAGTGAGAAGATATTTATAAGGAGCATTTGAAAGGCAGAGACTGGTGGAGGGATTTCTTCCCCCTTTTCTTCTCTTGAGCTGGTGCTAGCTGATTGTGCCAGTGCTTTTCTTGGCTGTGGAGTGAGGTCTGGAGGGTGAGCTGTGCATGTCCCCTGAAGTTCAGTGTCTGCTTGCTACCTTGTTGTTGACAGGCACACTTAACCTCACCCCATTGCAGCAGAGCCCCGATGCCACTGCCTGAGAGGACAAAAGCTGGCAGGGCAGTCAGGATTTGGGAATACAGGGATTTGCAGCCTCTGATGGTCCTCAGCCTGCCTCTGAGGCATGGAGCCCTGCCAAGTGTTGGCAGAGATCAGCCTGGTGAGGATGTTGCTGCTTGGTGGCGATGCTCTGGGATGTCTGTGCAGCTTCTTGCTGGTTTGGGGTTTATCCTCACACCAGAGCTGCCCTGTGTACTCACTCCTTGTCTCCACAGCCCTGTCCTCAAGCCAATACTTGGCTTGAGCCTGGCTGGAAGGACACAAGCTGTGGGTGTTGCTGTGTTTTCCCTCGTTCTCCCCAAAATTGGGTCTTTCCCCATGTTTTCTACTGGTGTGATCACAGACAGGTGGATGGCAGCATCCTTCCTGCAAAGTAGGTGGAAGCCATGAAATCTTTAAGTAAGAAATTTGGGTCAAGGAAGGTGGGGAACAGTGCCAGAGTCCCTGACCTCCTGACTCAACAGGGTGATGGAAATTTTCAAGAATTTGATTGTCAGCTGCTCAAGCCAGGAACTCCTGCAATGGGATGGAACTCCTGCTCTCCTCCTGAGAGGAGGGTGCTGGATCCTGAGCATGGGCATCCTTGGGAGCTGCAGGACGTGGGGACCCCCCTGGTCCTTCTGCAGTGCCTCAGGAGTAGAGCTTGGCCCCCCTTTGGCTGCTGAGGGGCTGAAGCTGAGCCTGAGGTTGGGAGTAGG